TGCCTGTGTTCCAGCCAGTTGCAACAGCTTCCTCCAGGCGCTGCGTGGATTTGTGAAGAAAGGGCATTCGAGAAAAGGGGCCAAGCCACTTCCTCATCGGATGCTTGGCACAGTCTGCGCGAGGAAAAGGCGAGAGAAGGAAGCACAGATGAGCTGGAAGCAGCAAGGAACAGAAACCTCTCACTTGCCAGCAAGGTAATAATATCCCAAACTGAGATCCCAGGGACTGTCTCCCCTGCTGCAGCTGTGGTTTAAGATTACCTTGCTTTGCTTCGGTTTATTGGTAGCTTGCCTTGGAGGCTGCCTTATCATCAGTCCAAGGGCAAGACAAAGGGGCCTGGAGGGCCACATTGGGCTCCTGGACCTGAGATTCCCAAGCTCTGAACGTCTGCAAACTGTTGCAGGAACCCCCCCCCCCAAAAAAACACCACGTTTAGTTTGTACAAACTCGACACACACACACACACGACATACGCGATGTTTCTGTTATAAATTCATAGAAAATCAACCGTACATCAGATCTACACCAGTCCACTTTTATTTTGCTCCATGAAGGAAGGACTATCAAAAGGGGATGGTTTGATACAGGACAGCCATAATCCCTTGAGCATACTGACAGGTACACAGGAGCCCTACCCAGTTGCCAACCTTGATGGTCCTAGACAGAAGACCATCAAGAACACAAAGAACTTGCATATGGGATTGGATTCAACACAGACTGAAACAAAGGACAGTGATCAGCTCTTCCCTCTGGGAGTCCTCTGGAAAATACTCATGGGGAGGGGGAAAGGAGGGACCAGCCAGGTGACAAGATACTTAGGTTACCTCCACAAACCCCTTCCAGAACCCCTCCTTTTTGTGATGTATCAATGATATAGTCATGATGGAGTTGTGATGTAGTTCTAGGGGTGTAGCTTGGGGGATTAGTCGCTAATAAAGTTGGGGTCTTCTTTTGTTCTGGGCTTCTATCTTGTTTCACCTGGTGGCAGGTGGGAGTCCTGTCGCAACAGTCTTCAATAAAGACCAAGCCTGCTGGCTGCTGTTTTGCTCTGGTATTCCTGTCGGGTGTCCTTGTTGTTGTTGTTGTTTTTGTCCAAGGGAGCCCTCAGATTTCTCTGTTAACATACAACTCTAGCCATCGTAACCATATATGCAAAATCAGTTTTCCATCACGCATAGGGTTTGCTGCCATCAACATACTTTAAAGCGGCTCTCCAACCTCTTGCACTGCCAACAAAAAGAGTCAAATAAAGAGCCAATTCTCATGATGATGGCACAAAAACTTTACACATACACTATGTCAGGCATATCCTGCTGGTAGTTCGCAGAGTGTTCCTGGTAGATCTCTGGCCCCTCAGTGATCTCCTCTCCCCCACACCCTGGAAAAAGTTCAACAACCTTGCCTTTCCCCAAAAAAGCAGCATCTCACACCGAATGTAACTGACTTGTAAGTACCTTTGTTATCCATGAAAATCTTTCAACAAAAAAAATTACACACACACACATATGCACACTTTAAAGGGAATAAAAGGTATAAAGCTGACCACTCTTTGAATCCAGCCTCAGAGCTTCTACTTGTGTGCCAGAGAGAGCAATTAGATTGGAAGGCATGTGGGGCAGAGCCTTTTAAGCTGTGGCCCCACAATTGTGGAATGGTTTCCTGACTCAAATCTGTAAAGACTTACCAATTATCCCAAAACAGACCAAAGGTTCATATAACTTCTGAATACACTGACTGGAAGCAGGCCACTGAAAAGCAGATTTTTCAGAGAGGGTCCTTACCCCCGCAAGCACTACCTGAAGAAGCCAGGGATTGAATGGGGTCGTGCTCTGCTACTGAGCTACAGTACAGCCCTTCTGGACTTAGATGTTTATTGGGAGAAAACACAAAGGGCACTTCCAGACTGTCACTATTTTCAAGTGGGATTTAATCACATACTGTACTGACACGTTCAGCCCGTGCAATTATAGTGATTCGGAGGTCCTGCGCAGCAAAGCTGCTTCCCCAAAATATCAGACTTTTTACCATAAGGAAAGTCACCTAACCAGTGATGGACCTTGGCATCTCAAATTTCAGCAGTGCCTTTTGTGACACCTCTTGCCTTCTGTTTGATGTCATTGCTGCAGCCCCTGCTGCAGCACCCCAGAAGCTCTGTGCTCGGTGCAACCAAACCAGCCACACTTCCCTGGATCTGCCTTTGACCTCACCTGCCCACAAACAAATCGGAATGAATGTTACGTCAATACCCAACATTGTCTAATCTCCCTGCAAACAAATCAGGATGAATGTTCAATAAACAGATCACCTGGAAGCATCCAAAGTCTCCAAAGGCTGAAGTTGTTCCAGGCTGAATACAGACTAGTGAAGGGTGCAGACTTGCATATATGGCAGTGTATATGCATGTTTATTAACCTTTCCTTTCTACATGGCCCCTGAGAATCTAGTTTGCCCCTTCTTTGTCCACGCAAATATAACTGAAGAGGATGTGCTGCTTGCGAGACTTCTCTTAGCAACGTGAGCGGCAAGAATGAGGAGAACTTCCAACACACAGGCCCCACCTGCCCTAAACATATAAAGCAGCAGCATGCCACTTTGGGTAGTCACAACTGCCTCCAAAGAATCCTGGGAACTGTAGTCTGTTAGGGGGGGCTGAGCATTGTTAGGAAAGCCCTGTTCCCCTCACAGAACTACCATTCCCAGAGTTCCCTGGGAAGAAGGGTTTATTGTTTAAATAGTTCTGAGAATCATAGCTGTGTGAAAGGGATAGGGGTCTCCTAACAGCTCTCAGCATCCTTAACAAATTACAGTTCCCAGGATTATTTGGAGGAAGCTGTGACTGTTTAAGTGGTATGACACTGCTTTCAATGTATGGTGCAGGTGGAGCCTCGGATTCTTGCAGATAATAGCAAATAATGAGTTCAGAGACAGTGATGAGGGAGAGGAAACCCTGAACAACCAATCTGCCAGTAAACATTCAGTTCAGCTGATGATCAGTCTTTCCTGTTGTATAATTTTTCTGCTAATGGTTGTTGGGGAAAGAGTATTTTAAATAATTTTAACACAATGTTATTTTAAATCTGTTATAAACTGGCCTGATAACTTGGCTATGAACAATAATTGTGATGTACTGTTTCTGCCACCTGTGAACCCACACAGTCTTAGGCTGGCACACAAACCCTATTTCTCTATATCAGATGTTGCTGAACTACAACTCCCATCAGCCCCAGCAAGCATGGCCAATAGCCAGGGGTGGTGGGAGTTGCAGTTCAGCAACATCAGGAGGGGCAAAATTTCCTCACACCTGCTAAAAATGAAACATCTGGCTCTATGCTTTAGGGTGTGGTGTCTTCCAATCTGAAACAGGAGGAAGGAGGAGACTAATAGTAGGGAGTTTATTGTGAACACCAGCCTTTTTACACCATCATGGAGGTACCTTACATTTTATAAGCGACTTCTGTGGCACCTGTGAAGGCTCCCTCAGCCACTTGAAAACAAACAAAAAAGACTTCTCATCTATCAGCTTTGGAGAACATGCTCTGCTTTAGGTACAGCCATGCAGGAGAACAAGAAAGGTGTCTTGGTGGTTGTCACTCAAAGAAGACCCACCTCCCTGGGCATTTCTGACCCCAAACCGCAGCAGCAGCAGAAACCAGACAGGCCTGATGCTCTGGACTTATGGTGTTGCAGTGACAGGGAAAGAGAACTCTGCTTGGAGCTGTCAGCAGAAGGACATGATGGGTAGGAGAGGGCAAATGCGGGAAGGAAATTCTGAAGGTAGAGGACCATGTCAAGAAGAGAGAAAAGCAAATGGCAGGAAGTGAAAAATGTTTCTCCCTCCTCCCCATGGTGACAGCATATATACCTGGCAGCCAGTTACGTGATTTAAGGAGGAAGAGAAACCCCAATTCTTTGCAGCACCAGGGGATATCTAGGCTTAGCTGAAGGTGGGAAATGACACCTGAGAGTAGGGGAAATTGCTGGTGAGCAATTGGATCTGCTAGGCTCATCTTTCTAATTAATGAGCCCATTTGACCTGGAGAGTGGAAATAATAGTGGAAACAATGGCCTTAGCACAGGGGTGACTGTGGCACTGAGGAGGGGGCTTCCCTGCAAAATGTAATGGCACTTTGAGGAATGTGGCTGCCGTTTGCCCCGGAAACCAGCAGCGTGATAACGGTGGCATCTAGCCTTCAGCAACTTGAGGAATTGGTTGCTTAGCTGGTTCAGGTGGGTTGTTATTTTGCAAACTGGAAACATTTGCAAGCGCTGATATTTTCCTCCTGCACGGTGAAAACAGCTCAGCCTACTCTGGCAGCGTTCTTCTCTTAGAAATAGATATGCATAAATTGTTTCTAATGAGACCATCTGCCTTTTATAGCCCCCTTGGAAATAAACAGTACCCAAAGACCACTCTGTCTTGTACAGATCGATGGCCCAAAAGCCTGCTCTTGCCGGTGGGGGGAGGGGAAGGGGGAGACATGAATTGGATTTGCTGAGAGGGAACACGTTTTGATTACTGCCATGCAGAATTGCTGGACTGCAGCGCATGGAACAGTGGGGGGGAATTGCTAAACATCACTGGACATCCGCTCTCGAGAAACAACATCTGGTGAGTCTTCTTCAAAATTAGACGGTGTCATTAATTTATAGCAAGTGGAGGAAAATAAAACATCGTATTGTTCAATGTTTCCCCCTTAAAATAAAATAAAGGGTTGAAAGAACATTTGAAATATATTCTGTTTCTTATTAATGGCTCAAATGTTTAACGTAAGTACCTTTAACATGGGTTTTTCTGGGCTTTCAAAGCCCCCATAGTGTACTGCAATGCTTCATAGGAGATTAAGGATGCAAAGCTTTAGACCAGTGGTTTCCATAAGTGGGTGTTACTGCCATCTGAGGGCAGTGAGATTACTGGGGGGGGGGACGCTGAGGGGCAAGGGGGTAGTAGGGGTGTGCTGAAGGTGTAAATGACTATCAGATTTTGAAAAGCAGGTATCACTTCTCAATAGCTCAGTTGGTAAAGCATGAGACTTTTAATCTTAAGGTTGTGGGTTCAAGCCACATGTTGGGCTAAAGATTCCTGCATTGCAGGAGGTTGGAACAGATGAGACTCAGGGTCCCTTCCAACTCTACAGTTCTATGATTCTATTTCTTGAATTCATCGAACTAAATAGTTCTAACTGAATTTTGAATAAATGGGCAATTAATTGTTAATACTTTGAATTTTAATGTGTTATTATCTTCCTTAGTGTGCAAACCGCTGTTCTGAATAATTCTTTGTATCGAGTAAGGTAGGAGCCACTGGGAATGAGTTTACAGAACCAGGGGGCCAGTAGCCCACAAAAGTTGGGGAACTATTGCTACAGTGGAACCTTGGTTTTCGAGGGTTTCGGAAGCCGAACAATTTGGTTCCCGAACTCCAAAAAACCAGAAGCAATTGTTTCCGTTTTTGAACGTTTTTCAGAAGTCAAATGGCTTCCAGTGAGTTTTTCCTTCTTTTCTCACCATTGACTTCGCAGCCAGCCCACTGATTCTCCGTTTTCGAACGTTTCGGAAGCCGAACAGTCTTCTGGAACAGATTAAGTGTGAAAACCGAGGTTCCACTGTACTCACCTGAGATTAAGTCCCATTGAACACAGTGGGCTTACTTCTAGTAAATATGCAGAGGGTTGCATTGTAAAGCGGAGAAGTCCCTTCCCAGAGGACTGTTGTTGCATATGAGGAATTTCAGGGTACAATTTCCAGTCACCATCTCTTGTTTTTAGATAGTGAGTGTATAAATACCTTCTTAGCTTTAGGCATGTGCCAGAACTTTCTAGCTACACTACCAGTGATCTATGAGGAGATGGGATAAAGAAGAGAATCAGAGAAGAACATTCCAGGAAGCTGGGTGGTGTTTTCGGAGGCTGCAGGGAGGTTAAGCACCACAACTCCGTGCCGTATTAATTCTCTTCCTCACAGTCCATTGTGCTGGATGATCGCGAAAGCCTCTCCAGAGAAATGGAATTGCACAGAATCTATTCCCACTCATGCAACTCTGGCAAAGGGAAGCCTTACACAAGCACTCAAAGATTAATGAGATTAATGATAAAAATAAAAGCACCATGCACCATACTGAAGATTTTAGGATTTTTAAATTTTTATTTTAGTTAACGAAGCAAATCCTGTAAGGCACATGAGTTTTACACACAAATGTATCCCACTTGCTTTATCCCATCATATTAGAAGGTGAGCCAAAAAATGGTGACAATGAAAGGAAAGGTGCAACGACAGTGCAGCTTCGCATGTTGTTCATTCTCGTATGACCTAGAATGATTTTTCTCAACAAAACGCTTTGCATGTGAGAGACTTCCCCCCCCCCCGGGTATAAGACAACTCCTATTTTTGGGGACCCCAAATTAAGGAAATGGGGGAGATTGCCCAGAGTTGTTGAGCTTTTGGGGGGGAGGCATTGCCAACAATCGCTCACCCGCCTGGTCGCCACTGCCAGTCGCATGCCTCACTGAAGCTAACAATCGTCTGCCCATTCACTGCCAGCAGGCGGCAATTGCCGCAGCAGCAGCCAATCGCCAACAGGCCTTGCCGCAGCCACCAATCACCCACCCAATTTCCACTGACCATCTCGTGCTCACAGCTGCCACCAATCGCCAGTCCCCCCTCTGCACTATCCGTGTATAAGACAACCCCCCAAATTTTAACATTTTTAATAATAATAATAATAATAATAATAAATCATCTTATACATGGAAAAATACGGTAACTTGTATTGGTCATTAGAGACCAACTAATGGAATAAAAGAATGCACAGAGATAATTGCCATCTCTTGGCAAGAATATCAGTATTCTACACTGGAATATGCTCTGCCACCAACATTTCACACAGGAAAACATTAAGTGGAGTGTACTTAACAATGAGCTATTTGTGTAAGTTTGTATCTTATATAGAAAACAAAATAATATTTGGCTTATAGCCTGAGAGATGATTCAGTATACAGTGGTACCTTGGGTTACAGATGCTTCAGGTTACAGACTCCGCTAACCCAGAAATAGTACCTTGGGTTAAGAACTTTGCTTCAGGATGAGAATTGAAATCGCATGGTGGTGGCGCAGTGGCAGCGGGAGGCCCCATTAGCTAAAGTGGTACCTCAGGTTAAGAACAGTTTCAGGTTAAGAACGGACCTCCAGAACAAATTACGTTCTTAACCGAGGTACCACTGTAAAGGACTTTGACCAGGGAGACCTAGGCTCAAATCCCTGCTTGCTCTGAAGGGCACCTCCTGGCGGGTCTTTTCATGTTCATTCAGGATGATTTGTGCTCTTGACAAAATCAGGAGAATCATACACGCTCCCTCATCCAAGAGAATTGGCGTACTGAAAACTTTAAGGGCAGCCACATGGCATCATTGGCAATCGCTGCATAGCTTCCTGCTGAAATCCTGTAGCTGGAATGGAACATAAAGAGATTACAACAGAAAAACTTTGAGTTTGCTAACAAATCTGGAAAACTACTTGCTTGGCAAATTAAAAAGAGAAAAGAACAGAATACGATTAATAAAATTATTGAAAATGGTGAAGAGATTGTTAACCCGAAAGGAATCAGAAAAGGATTCTTGGACTTTTACAGGCAACTATACCAAAACAAAGAGAGAAACAACTTAAAGAAAATAGAAAAAAAATTAAAAGATAAAAAGGTGCAGAAGATCCCGACAGAACAAAAAGACCAGCTGAATACCCCAATAGAAATTGAAGAGATTAAAGAGGCGATAAAAGAACTGAAGAGAGGTAAAGCCCCAGGACCAGATGGATTTACTTCAGGATATTATAAAGAAATGAGAAATGTCTTGTTATTCCCATTGAAAGAAGTTATGAACAATATTTTAAAAAGAAGAGAAATCCCAGAAACGTGGAAGGAAGCATTTATTACTTTGATTCCGAAACAAGACTCTGATTTGACTCAAGTTAAAAATTATAGGCCTATTTCTCTGTTGAATACGAACTACAAAATATTTGCAGGAATTTTGGCGAAGAGACTGAAAAAGATTTTAACAAATATTATCCACAAAGATCAAGCAGGTTTTCTGCCAGGCAGACAAATGAAAGATAATGTAAGGAACATAATTAATATTCTGGAATATTTGACTGCCAGAAATGAGAAACAAGCGATATTGATGTTTGTGGACGCTGAAAAAGCTTTTGACAACATTGTATGGGATTTTATGTTGAAAAATTTAGAATATATGGAAGTTGGTAAAGACTTTTTTAATGGAATCAAGGCAATATATACAGAACAGAAAGCTAAACTGATAGTTAACAATGTGGTTACAGAAGACATAAAAATATCTAAAGGGACAAGGCAGGGCTGTCCGCTCTCGCCATTATTATTTATAATGGTCCTGGAGGTTTTGTTAAACACGATCAGACAAAATAAATTAATTAAAGGGGTGTCAGTAGGTCAGAAGGAATATAAAGTAAAAGCCTTTGCCGATGATCTGGTTATAACGATGGAGGAACCAGGGGAGAGTGTCAAAAAAGTATTGGAGGAGATTGAACAATTTGGAAATGTGGCCGGATTTAAATTGAATAAGAAAAAAACTAAAATAATGGTGAAAAATATGGAGTACAATAAGATAGAAACATTGCAACAACAGATAGAGATAGAGGTGGTAAAGAAAGTAAAATACTTAGGAATTTGGTTGACTCCTAAAAATATTGACCTGTTCCAGAATAATTATGTTCAGATATGGAAAGGAATTAAGAATGACTTGGTGGTGTGGGGTAGAATGAAACTGTCCTTTTGGGGCAGAATATCTACGATAAAGATGAATGTGCTCCCAAAGATGTTATTTTTATTCCAGACTATCCCCGTTATTAAGGGGGTAGGGATTTTTAAAGATTGGCAAAGAACGATTTCAAGGTATATCTGGCAGGGCAAGAAGCCGAGAATAAAATATAAATTACTAACAGATGTGAAGGAAAGGGGAGGCTTCGCCCTGCCAGACATGAAACTATATTACGAAGCAGCCTGTCTTTGCTGGTTAAAGGAATGGATTAAATTAGAAAATACTGAGTTATTGGATTTAGAAGGTTTTGATAACAGATTTGGGTGGCACGCATACTTATGGTGTGATAAGAAGAGAACCACATCTTCAGGAGTTCATTAATAGAAGTTTGGGACAGGTATAAAAGCCTTCTGGAACCAAGAGTTCCACACTGGTTAACTCCGTTAGAGGCTATGAGTGTAAAGAAAATTAATATGAGAGGGAAATGGGCCACATACGGAGAATTAACAACTAAAGAAGGAGGGAAATGGAAATTAAATCCATACGTATATATTAAAGATTATGTGTATGATTGGCTGCATTACTTTCAGGTAAATGAAATGTTTAAAAAAGATATAAAGGAAAGTGGATATGCAGAAAAAGACTCAAAGTTCCAAACAAAGATAATAAACAATGAATATAAAACTCTGTCAAAAATGTATAAGATATTGCTAGAATGGTTTACGAAAGACGAAGAGGTAAAATCGGTAATGATACAGTGGGCCAAAGACTTTGGATATAACATTCAATTTGAAGATTGGGAAAAATTATGGAAGGAAAGTTTAAAATTTACTGCATGCATGGGGTTGAAGGAAAATGTAATGAAAATGTTTTACAGATGGTATATCACCCCGGTAAAATTGGCAAAAATGTATAAAACATGTAATAAGTGTTGGAAATGTAAAGAAAAAGAGGGAACTTTCTACCACATGTGGTGGGAATGTAAGAAGGTAAAGAGTTTCTGGGAAGCAATATATAATGAATTGAAAAAAATGTTAAAATACACTTTTGTGAAGAAACCAGAAGCCTTTCTTTTAGGGATTACAGGAAAAGATATAAGAAGAAAAGACTATAAACTTTTCCAGTATGCAGTTACGGCAGCAAGAATTCTATTGGCTCAGAAATGGAAACAAGAGGAAATACCGACGATTCAAGAATGGAGAATGAAATTGACTGACTATGCGGAACTGGACAAACTGACCGGGAAAATAAAATATGCCCGAAACCAAAAGTTCATCGAGGATTGGGGAAAATTT